TTAAATTTTGAATAGAGTTTATGAAATCTATTATATTATTAAAACAGCCTTGAAAGGAGGCACCATGTTCGCTGTGGGGGCTAGAAATTCCCACATTAATCGGAGAAAAAGAAAAAAAAAGAAAAAGAGAGTCCAAGTAGAAATACAATCTAAAAATATCTGAAATTCGGAATTAAAATAAGCAATAATGAAATAAGTTTCCATATAAGAACCCAGTACGAGATTAATCAAAATTCAAAATAAAAATAAAATAAAATCCAAAATTAGAAAAAAAAAGGAGAATCCAAATAGAAATACAATCTAAAAATAGCTGAAATTCGGAATTAAAAATAACCAATATTGAAAAAAGTTTCCATATAAGAACCCAATACGAGATTAATCAAAATTTGAAATAAAAATAAAATAAAATCCAAAATTAAAAAAGAAAAGGATAGTCCAAGTAGGAATACAATTTTAAAATAGCTAAAATTTGGAATTAAAAATAAGGAATATTAAAAGAAGAGTCCATATAAGAACCCAACACGAGATTAATTAAAATTAGGAATAAAAATAAAAATAAATCCAAAATTAGAAAAAAAAATAAAAGAAGAGTTCAAGTAGGAATACAATTTAAAATTAGCTAAAATTCGGAATTAAAAATAAGCAATATTGAAAGAAGAATCCATATAAGAACCCAATACAAGATTAATTAAAATTCAGAATAAAAAAATAAAATAATATCCAAAATTAGAAAAATTAAAAGAGAGTTCAAGTAGGAATACAATTTTGAAACAACTGAAATTAAAAATAAAAAAATTAAAAGAACACAATACGATATTAATTAAAATTTGAAAAAAAATAAATTCTGAAATTAAAAAAATAAAAATAAGATTTCAATTAGGAATACAATTTATAAATAACAAAAATTTGGGATAAAAATAAAGACTATTGAAAGAAAAGACCGTCTAAAACACATGACGAGATAAATTAAGCAACATGCCTATAAAACAGTAGAGTGGTGGCAGTTGATACGTCATATAAAATTCATAATAAAACACCAAATAGATCCTAATGACGATTAAAAGGAGGGACGGCCAGCAGACCATGAAGCAAACGAGTAAAGCGGTTGCCAGGACTTCTAGAAAGTAAAAAAAAACCCATTGATTATCATATTCGATTTTTAAAATCTCAATGCCTATAAAAAGGAGAAGCAGCGAGCGGGGTGTATAGGAGTATAGTTGCAGAGCCACCAACGGTTGACGAGACTTCTAGAAAATAAAAAATAAATTCCAACGATAATTATGTTTGATTTTTAGAATCACAATGACAATAAAGAGTAGGCGGCGGACATGCCGTAGAGTAGCATAGTGGCATCATTTTACGGAATTTCTAAAAAGTAAAAAAAAACAATGTGTTCGATTTTAAAATCTCAATGACAATAAAGAAGGAAGGCAACGGGCGAGCCATAGAGAAGTACAATATCAAAGCCGCTGACGGTTTGGCGGGACTTCTAGAAAGTAAAAATGAACCCAAACGATAATTATGTTCAGTTTTTAAAATGTCAATGATAATAAAGAGAAGAGACAGTGGACGGGCCGTAGATAGTGGACGGGCCGTAGAGGAGTATAATGGCAACGTTTAACGGGACATCTAGAAATTATAAAAACGAAACCCAACGTGACAATAAACTCTAAAAACTATAAGATCTAATTTTTAAAGGTTCCAAGGAGAATGAATAGAAATAGTGATAGATCGTGCAAGCAAATAAAGGAGGAGATGTCATAAGGGGTAGCAACTGGTGTGACTTTTAAAAACTATATAATTAGAAACACGGGGATGATAAGGTTTGGTCTTTCAAAGTTTTAAGACAATGAGATAGCTATTTAATAATTTTAAAGTAAAATCATACTTAAAAAAATATATGATTTTGTTTGGGTGCTAGCCGCACAATTGCGCGGGCCAAGAAAAAAAAAGAAAAGGAGAGTCCAAGTAGAAATACAATTTAAAAATAGCTGAAATTCGGAATTAAAATCTTACCCATTAGATTATAGTGGGTCCGAATTATAATGGTATAGATTGATTGATATTATTGTATACAAGATACAATTATATCTACATAAATTGAAGTTAAGAGTTGTATGTCTATTAAAACTAAAAGTTGTATAAATCCAAATACACTTCTACGTATAAGGTTCCTATAAAAATAAAATTTTTCAGAGGCATGCAGCCTTGCGGAATTGAAATCAAACATGATATAGGATATATACGTATGTAACGGACTCAATATGAATTATTGTCTGATTTCTGTTAGCCAAAAGAAGTTCCGTATGAATTAGATTATACATATGTACTTCTATAAATCAATTACGTATCACAACAATATTCAAGCTTTGATATGGACGGAAACAGATCAACAAATATTAGGGGGACGAAAGCTGCAGCAGCAGGTTAAGCAACGTTAAAAAAAGATTTCCATAAAAAAAGGAAAAAAAAGATTTCTGTATGGAAAAAAAAACAAGCGCTAAAAATTTTAGGAATTGCTAACTAGCAGCCTCCGATAAAAAAAAGTGCGAAAAACGGGTTTCCGCCTTCCGTAAAAAAAAGGAAAAAAAATAGTGCGAACAAAATGTCCGATTCTAAACAAAAAAATCCCATCCTCCGTGCCCCCCAAAAAAACAAGCGCGAAATTTTTTTTTCTATCCGATTAAAAAAAGTGTGTTCCCGTTTTCCTTAAAAAGGAAAAAAAGTAGTGAGAAAAAAAGATTTATGTCCGATTCTTAAAAAAAATAGTACGTATAAACCGGTCCTCCCGAAAAACCTCCGTGCCCGAAAAACAAACAAGCGCGAACAAAGGTTCCCGTTTTCCTTAAAAAAAGAAAAAAAATAGTGAGAAAAATTGTTAATTGAAGAAAAAGTTTTCGTGAAACGTTCAAAAAAAAATCTGATTCCATAAAAACCGATGCTTTTCCAAAAATTCCTCCAAAAAAAAGAGGTTGATAGGAAAAAACAAAGAGTCCAATAAAAAATCCAATACGAGATTAGTAAAAGTTAGGAATAAAAAAATAAAAAAAATCAAAATTAGGAAAAAAAGAAAAGACAAGAAGAGTTAAGTAGAATACAATTTAAAATTAAATATAATCAGTATTGAAATAAGAGTACATATCAGAACCCAATAGTAGATGAATTAAATTTGGAATAAAAAATAAAATAAAATCTAAAATCAGGCAAATGAAAAAGAGAGTTAAAGTAGGAATACAATTTTGAAACAGCTTATGAAAATAAAAAATAAAAATAACAAAAGAACACAATAAGAAAAATAAAATAAATTCTGAAATTGGTGATAAAAAAGTAAAGACCATTGAAAGAAAATACCATCTAAAACACATAACGAGATTAATTAAGTAACAGGCCTATATAGGAACCACTCTAATAGGAACAGAGTGGTGGCGGTTGATGGGACATCTAAAAACTATTAATAAATCACCAAATAAAATCCTAATGATGATTAAAAGGAAGGACGACGGGCATGTCGTGAAGTAATCGGTCAAGGCGGTTGGCGAGACTTCTAGAAAGTTAAAAAATAAACCCCAATGAAAATCATATTTTATTTTTTAAAATCTCAATTACAAAAAAAAAATGAGAGGCAGCGGACGGGTCATATAGGAGTACAATGGCAGAGCCGCTGATGGCTGGTGGGTCTTCTAGAAAGTAAAAAAATGAATTCCAATGATAGCTATGCTCGATTTTACAATCCCAATGAGAATAAAGAGTATGCGGCGGACGGGTCGTAGAGGAGTATAGTGGCACCGTTTGACGGGATTTCTATAAATTATAAGAAAAAATGAAACCCAACGAGACAATAAACTCTAAAAAGTATAAGGTCTAATTTTTAAAGGTTTGGGCTTCTAAAAAGTAAAAAAATAAACCCCAATGATAATCATGTTTGATTTTAAAATCTCAATGACAATAAAGAAGGGCGGCAGCGGGCGAGCCACAGAGGAGTATAGTGACAAAGTTGCTGACGTTTTGGTGGAATTCTAGAAGTAAAAAAATAAACCTAAACGATAATTATGTTCGATTTTTAAAATAATACTCCCTCCATCCCATTTTAAATGCAGCCATAGTTTTCCGCACCTAATTTTGACCGTCTATCTTATTTGACATTTTTTAAAAAAAAAATAAAAACATTAGTCACGAGTAAAGTACTATTCATGTTTTATCATCTCATAACAACAAAAATACTAATTATAAAAAATTCAAATAAGACGGACGATCAAAGTTGGGCGCGAAAACTTATGGTTGCAATTAAAATGGGACGGAGGGAGTAATGATAATAAAGAGAAGATGCAGTGGACGGTCATAGAGGAGTATAATGGAAGCGTTTGACGGGACTTCTAAAAATTACAAAATTATAAAATTATAAACACGAGAATGATAAGGTTTGTTCTTTTAAAATCTTAAGACAACGAGATAACTATTTAAGAAATTTTAAGTAAAATCATGTTAAAAAAATATAATTTTATATGGGTGCTAGCCACGCAATTGCGCGGGCCACACAGCTAGTTTTAATTGAAAACCTTAAATTATATTTGAAAAGTAAAAAAAGCAACTCAACGTGATATGGCTAATTACCCGAAGAAAGGAAAAAAAATCAGACTAATGATGTTACTAATCTGCATCTAATTACGTGATAATCACTTTTTCCCTCGTTTTCCTGTTTCTGACAACACCGCTGTTCGTTCCGCTAGCGACACATGCACTTGTGTGCCACGTGTATGCGCTGAGGTAAAGTTGCCTAGTTCAAAATAAAAAGATTGAGTAAAGAGGAATCTAAAATAAAACTTTGACAATAAAATAGAAGTGAAATTGAGTCTGTCTCTTTTCTTTTTTAAGCCTCTTTTATCTGCGCGAGCAGGCGATTAAAAATGAAGCCAAGATGGTCACGTCTACGAGCACGCGGGTCAGAAAACGGAAGTGAGGCGGAAAGTAAAAGCCGTCTCTTTCCCTTCCCCTGACGCCATCTCCCCTATTCGCTACAGCGATGTCGTGTCATTTTCTGCAAGTCAATCGACAAGAGGATTATCGAAGTACAGATACAGAAGCAGGCGCTGCTGCTAGAAGCGAAGGATATAACAAGCGGCGGCCGGAGACGACGACGGAGAAATCCGGAAGAAGAGGAACTGCCGGCGCTGAGCTGCAATCGCGCCCAAGAATCCATCTCCTCCGGCGGCAGGTATGGTGATTTCGTCTTCCTCGAACTCCTCCGTTTCTTTTTCCTTTTTTTTTAAAAAAAAATCATCCATTTCTCCCCTGATGGAGTGGAGTGGAGAGCTCCGTTTCTCGTCTTCTCGGTGGATTTGGTCATTCGGGTAGTGCTACCGTTTCTTGATTTATCCTGCGGAAATCGTGCTCTTCCGCATTGATCTTATAGGCTGGTGGGAGGCGCCGAGCCGCCCATTTGAGTTGAGGGGTTGACCAATCTGAGGAATATTCTGACGGCGTTATATAATTCGGACAATCGATGCACAACTGGGGCCCAAAAACAAAAAAATGTTCCTTTCTTAAACAGTTGGTTCAGAATGGGATTTTTTTTTCTTTTTGGTAATTTTTATTTTTTGTTCCTTCCCGATTACCGTGAACAGTTTTTACAAGCAATCTACATGTCTGGTCATGAACTTAACATCTCTAAAATATTTACTCTATTATATATATCATACACTGTTCAACTGAATTGAGATTGCTTTTTTTTTTCTTTTTTGTAGTTTTATTTGTTTGTTCCCTTCCAAGTACCATGAACAATCTTGCAAATTACAATCCATTTACATGTTTGGCCACGGCTTGAAATGTTAATCCAGTATATGGAGAATCATATACGGCTGAACTGACTTAAAACACTGTAGTGTTTGACAATATAAATCACACTGTTGAACTTTGTTTTAGACTTAAGATACTATATAGTATTTAACAGTAACAGTATGTTGTACTATGTATCATATATGCACTGCTGAACTATCTTAAGAGACTGTAGGTTTAACAGTAAAAGATTGCCACCTGTAATTTCCTGAAGGATATAAGCAGTTAGGAACATCTTTTTTTCGCCGGGCCGGCAAAGAACACCGGCCACAGTTAGGAACATCTTTGTTGCTGTATATTCGTAATGCACCCCTATATTCCCTTCTTGTTCTGTTCTTATTGCTGTTTTATTTGCATGTACAGCTTACAGGGTCGCTGCTCCATCTCCTTGAATTGTACTAGCTGTCTTGTGCTTAAGATTTGCGCTCGGCTTCATTTTTGGATTCAAGCTGCTGGGTGTGGATTTTTATGATGGGCTGTCTACCAACAAAGCAAGTGGGTCGTTCAACACATTCCTTGAATCCACGGGAAGCTGTGGCTCTTGCGGCTGAAACATCTTGTGAGAACGTCGATCTACCAGATTTCGTTAATATTGCCACTGGAACACCCTGTGAGAATTGAAATCCATCTTTCCATAAGAAAGAAAAAGGATTTAGTTTGTTTTTGGATATTTTTATGATTCTGTCTTAAAATGTGTGGATTAGCTTTTCTTATGTTAGTCGTTCAAAATCAAACAAAATGACAATGCACTGCATATATGATGTGTATTATCCTGAGTAGAATGGAACTTTGAACCAATAACTTCTTTTCTACCACAGTACCAGTAACCCAATGGATGCCAGGGTAGGCCAATTTCATCTAAAAAAGCATGTTATACATTATCATGGATTGCGTATAGTTCTGTAATGTTACCTGAAATACATATATTTTTCCGGGTTTTACAACAAGTTTCTTAACATTTTTCTATTATTGCAGTTACTGTGAATGAAGTTGAGGCATTATACGATCTCTTCAGGAAATTAAGTAATTCAATAATTAAAGATGGTCTGATTCACAAGGTAATAAGTGCTTCCGCATAATTTTGATTGGTACAAGTTTTTAAGATATTTGGCATGCAGCTTATTTTGTTTTTCTTATCCAGGAAGAATTCCATCTTGCTCTCTTTAGGAACAAGAAGACAAATCTCTTCGTTGATAGGGTAAGACTTAAGAGTGTTAATATGTTCCAAATTGTCATTGTATAGGTTTTCTTGATGATTCCTCTGTTCTTCAGTGCTAACAGTTTATATTAAAAATAATAATATTTATTCTCCATATTCTTTTTGAATTAATATGTCCAAATGATGTTTGCAGTCCACATTCTTTCTACTTCACAATAGTATGCAAGAGAACTGCATATCATTATATAAATCGTAGAAAAGATTCCCACTTTACATTCTTGTGCTCATTGTTTTTAGTCATCCACCATCAACACTCATATGTTATCCTTCCTAAAGGTGAATCCATATAAGTGGCCTGAAGCAGTGTAATTTCTCTCTTGCGCATTAGAGCAACATTTAAAAACTAACAAATAGAATAGATTTTACATGACAGGCTTCCGGTTTAAAAAAGGGTAATTTTGAATGTATTGGCATTCAGTATTATCAGTAAATATTTATGTGTTTGAAAATAATCGCAGGTCTTTGATTTGTTTGATCAAAAAGGAAATGGTGTCATCGAATTTGATGAATTTGTTCGATCTCTTAGTGTGTTTCATCCAGATGCACCTGAGGAACAGAAAGCTGGATGTAAGGACTCTTCAGTCAATTGTTTATTCTTACCAAAAACATGTCGGGCATAAGAATATAGATGTTTAGATTTGAACATTTGCTTTCACTAATTAATGTTATAACTTCTTATTGCAGTTGCATTTAAGTTATATGACCTAAGACAGACAGGGTTTATTGAAAGGCATGAGGTAAGTGTTACTTTTCTCTTCTTTTAGTTCCAGAAAATTGATTTGAGCACCGTTTGATATACTTTTTAATGCTCAGTAGCACTTTTTTTTACTGAATCACAGTCAGATATCTATATTGTCAGGTATAGATATTACCTAGAAAATTATCATCTTAGTGAAACAAATTAACAGATTGGGCAGCTACATAACATGTTTGTAATTGCATGAGAGAAGTTATGCTTGTTTGTATTTCTAAGAGTTGTTGTGTAAACTTTGGTTCTATTTTGGTATTTAATCATTTCTCCCCTCGTCTATAGCAATGAAATCATGCTAACTCTGCTGATTTTATTTTCTCTTTGCTATTCTTTATTTTTTTTTGTAGTTAAAGGAGATGGTGTTGGCTCTTCTGGATGAATCAGATTTGAATATTACAAGTGATGCTGTCGAGATGATTGTTGATAGGGTATGGGTCCTAACTCCCTAGAACACCAAGTAAATATGTCCTTCTGTATTGTTCTAAGTCTTTTTAAAAACAAAAAAAAAACAAAAACAGACATTTGACCAGGCTGACACAAAAGGCGATGAGAGAATAGACCAGGAGGAGTGGAATGAGTTTGTCAAAAATAATCCATATGTGCTGAGGAATATGACCCTCCCATACCTCAAGTAAGTGCTATGCACAAATTTACTACCACCATGAATAGAGTTGCTCTGCTATGTAGAATGTTTTTACTTGGAGTCACACTAGCAATTATACTCAACAATATTTCTTAGAACTTGCACTCGTCAGTGCCAAAACGTAGAATCAGACGCTTGTCAATGATAGCGATTGGGGGAAAAAAAGGATGATAATGGGCTTCACAATCACAATTGACTATAGTCATGTTTTTGTCATATGTATTGCGCATTAACTAATTATTATTGGTTGGTGATATTCTTTAGGGACCTCACCATGGTATTCCCAAGTTTTGTGATTCACTCAGAAGTCAGCGAAGCAGACATGGTTGCCTAACCTGAAACCTGGTGTTGCTACTTGCTAGATTGCAAGTTTGCAACACTTCTAGCATGTAATGTTTGTTCCTTGCGTGCATTGTTGACTAGGGAAACAGCCATATAGGAGATGAGTTGATGCCTCAAAATGTAGCATCACTGACCAGCAGATGCTCACTGTTGAGATTATGGGCATATAATGATTTAATTTATTCCATAAATAAATCATGACATTACAGATGAAAACTAGCATGAACGCATCATTAGATCTACACATGTAAACTACGCAGAATAACATGAACAGATCAAATATGCGCAACATATTGAACACGTACCGAGGTGACGAAAAGACCGGCTGCTTGGTCGAAACTTTTCGCATGTGTCTACGAAGGCACGAAACACGCGAGCGAAGAGGAAGGCGAGCCGTCGCGAACGAACAGGGAGCAGTCGCGCGAAGCGCTTCCCAAAAACCTTATTGCCGCCTTCTCCCGGTGCAGGACGTCAAAGGCAGAGGTTCCGGAGACCTGCTCTCCCGATCGCTGGTGCACGCCGGCGAGCGGGATTGAGTACTCTACGAGCGACGGCGCAGTACAGAGTAGGAGGCAAACCCTAGATTGATTTTGCGTATATACTGCGTGAAGACGGCGGGTCGGTTTATATAGAGAAGGGTCGCTTGATCAGGGCGCCCGCACGATCTCTACTGCGCGTAACCGAACCGGATAAGTCGCGCGTAACTTATCCGGACTCCACGCCGTTTGCACGCACCGGATTTTTCGGAACGTTTCCAAAACAAAACGAATCCGAATTTGCAGCAAAACAAAACTGCAAAAGGAGGCTGCATCTGCGCAAGGGTGAGGAGCCAATTTTTCGGACCATTCGACGCGTACGTCGTGCACGCGCGCTGCCTGCCCTGCCAGGGCAGGCCAGGCCAGGCCAGGCGAGGCGAGCGAGCGCGCGTGTGTTTCCCCTCTTCTCTCCACCACACATGCTTCAAGCGACTAGGAGGGCATCATCCCTTTTAAGGAGGTCCCCCTCTCATAGAATAAGCAAGGTGGTACTAAACTCCACATGCATGCCATCCCATGAGGTGGGCTTTTGTGATTTTCCAAAGAATTAATCTTCGAGTGGGCTAAGGCCCATTCATTAATTCCAACAATCCCCCACCAAATCTCAAAATCCCACTGAGATTTGCCTTTTCCAATGTACTGTTTATATACCAGCGATTCGATGGAGACCAATTAAGGTTGAACATCCACCTAGAACTCCAAGCTACACTTACTCACAACTTGAACAATGGACTACGCCTTGAATTGCAAGTCTTGTGCAAGCAAGTTTCACTCAAAGTCTTATCTGGTACTAGACCGTCTGTAGACTACCCCTCGGGTGGAGCGTATAAGTCATACTCCTAGGTCTTTAGTAAGCTTCCTAGAAGATTCACCCAAAATCTTCATAGACTGCGACCAACAGTCAAGCTCACAAAGGTGAGTTCTTTCAAGAATGCTCTGCAGGACAACATCTTTGCTAATTAAAGCCAACAGAACTCATTAAGGCATAGCCAACCTGCCTTGCAGCTCATGAGAGTATATGCATCTTCACTTGGAGAGGGTATATATATTGGTACTCTCCTCTAGTTTATTAATGGTTTGTTCTTCCCAGGATCTAATTCACGGGATCTCCGATCACATAGACTGGGTTACCACCATAGTATAACTCACATGGGTCTCAAACCCATCTCCTTCGATGCATTGTCTATCACATTTCGTGATAGTCCCTTCATGAAGGGATCTGCCAGGTTTCTCGCTGTTTGGATGTAATCCAACGTTATAACTCCGGAGTTTCTTAATTTCCTGACAGACTTCAATCGTCTTTTCACATGTCTAGACGATTTCATATTATCCTTAGAACTATTCACTTTGACAATTACTGTTTGATTGTCACAGTTCATAAGGATAGCCGGCACCGGTTTTTCAACAACAGGCAGATCCATTAATAGATCACGCAGCCATTCTGCCTCAACAGTAGCAGTATCCAGTGCCGTTAGCTCTGCTTCCATGGTTGACCTCGTCAAAATTGTCTGTTTGCAAGACCTCCATGAAACAGCACCACCACCCAGTGTGAAAACATATCCACTAGTGGCTTTGATCTCATCCACATCAGAGATCCAGTTAGAATCACTATAACCCTCCAGTACCGCAGGATACCCAGTATAGTGAAGCCCCAATTCCACAGTACCTTTCAGATAGCGCATTACTCGCTCAAGCGCACGCCAGTGATCATCTCCCGGATTAGAGGTAAATCGGCTCAACTTGCTCACAGCAAAGGAGATATCAGGCCTAGTTGCACTAGCCAGGTACATCAACGAGCCAATGATTTGGGAGTATTCCAGTTGATTCCTAGCAATTCTCTTGTTCTTGCGAAGCAACAAGCTAGGATCATAAGGTGTTGGAGAAGGCTTACTATCAATGTAGCCAAAGCGATTCAAGATCTTCTCCACATAATGGGATTGCAAGAGTGTAATCCCATTCTCACCTCTAATTAGCTTAATGTTTAAGATAACATCAGCTACTCCCAAATCTTTCATATCAAAATTCTGAGACAAGAATGATTTAACCTCATTTATCACCTCAAGGTTTGTCCCAAATATCAGTATGTCGTCAACATACAAGCACAAAATAACTCCCTCACCCCCACCATGGCGATAGTACACACATTTATCTGCCTCATTGACTGCAAAGCCTGCAGATGTCAATGTTTTGTCAAATTTCTCATGCCATTGCTTAGGAGCTTGTTTCAGACCATACAAAGACTTCAACAATTTGCACACTTTGCCTTCTTGACCTTCAACTACAAACCCATCAGGTTGATCCATATAGATCTCCTCATCCAGCTCTCCATTAAGAAAAGCTGTCTTAACGTCCATTTGATGAACGAGAAGACCATGTGAGGCTGCTAGGGAAAGTAGCACACGAATTGTGGTCAATCTAGCAACAGGTGAGTAAGTGTCAAAGAAATCTTCGCCTTCTTTCTGAGTATAGCCCTTAGCAACAAGCCGAGCCTTGTACTTTTCAATAGTACCGTCAGGCCTAAGCTTCTTCTTGAACACCCACTTGCACCCCACAGGTTTACACCCATAGGGTCGCTCTGTCACCTCCCAAGTCCCGTTAGCGATAATGGAATCCATTTCACTACGGACAGCCTCCTTCCAGTAGTCTGCATCAGGAGATGCATATGCTTCTGAAATTGACTTAGGAGTGTCATCCACGAGGTACACAGTGAAATCATCACCAAAAGACTTAGCCGTCCTTTGTCTCTTACTCCTTCGAGGAGCTTCACTGACATCCTCCTCAGAGACAAGTTCATGTGTATGTTCAGTTTGTTCTGGTGGTGTGATTGAACTGGGAATTATTTCAGAGGGTTGGTTCGAACCACTATGTGTATCCTTCATTGGGAAAAAGCTCTCAAAGAAGGTAGCATCACGAGACTCCATAATTGTACCAACATGCATGTCTGGTACCTCGGATTTAACTATTAAAAATCTATAGGCAATGCTATGATGAGCATATCCCAGAAAAACACAGTCCACAGTCTTAGGTCCAAGTTTGCGCTTCTTCGTTATTGGTACATTGACTTTCGCCAAGCACCCCCATGTGCGCAAATAAGAAAGTGATGGTTTTCTACCAATTCATATCTCATATGGTGTTTTGTCCTTATTTCTGTTAGGAACTCTGTTTAACACATGATTTGAGGTCAACAATGCCTCCCCCCACCATGCCTTAGGCAGTCCCGCGGTGTCCAACATGGCATTCACCAAGTCAGTCAGTGTGCGGTTCTTCCTTTCAGCAATCCCATTAGACTCGGGAGAATAGGGAGGCGTCCTCTCATGTATGATGCCATGTTCCTCACAGAATAAGTTAAACTCGTTCGAGAAAAACTCTCCACCACGATCAGACCTAAGCCTTTTTATCTTTCTGTCAAGTTGATTTTCAACTTCTGCCTTATAAATTTTAAAATAGTCTAGAGCCTCGTCTTTCGTTTTCAACAAGTACACATAGCAAAATCTAGTAGCATCATCAATCAATGTCATGAAATATCGTTTTCCACCCTTCGTCAACACCCCATTCATTTCACAAAGATCTGAATGTAGGAGTTCTAGTGGTGCCAAGTTTCTCTCCTCGGCAGCCTTGTGAGGCTTGCGAGGTTGCTTCGATTGCACACAACTATGGCACTTAGAACCTTTGACAATGGAAAACTTAGGAATTAAACACATACTGGAAAGCCGAGACATCAAGCCAAAATTAATATGACATAAACGTGAATGCCAAACATTAGCCTCATCATCCACACTGCCACAAATATGGTTCACAGACTTATTGCAGAAATCAGAAAGGGAAAAGCGGAACAGGCCTCCGCACTCATAACCTTTACCAATAAAATATCCATGTTTAGACACGACTACTTTATTAGACTCAAAAACCAACTTAAATCCGTCTCTAGTCAGACGGGAGCCACTAACAAGATTCCTGTCGATAGAAGGGACATGCTGCACGTTCTTCAGCTGCACGATCTTTCCCGAAGTAAACTTCAGATCTACCGTGCCAACACCATGAACAGAAGCATGTGACCCATTCCCCATTAGGACGGTGGAACCCCGTGCGACCTGATAAGAAGAAAACAATGAGATGTCAGCACAAACATGTACATTGGCCCCAGTATCAACCCACCAATTAGTAGATTGATTAACTGAAAAAACAGTAGGTAAATTACCATACCCGCTTCCATCTCCAGTGTTGCCAATGGTCACATTAGCAGACTTAGAAGTCTGCCCTGCAGGTGCCTTCATCCCCTTGCGCTGTGGACACTTCCTAGCCAGATGACCAACTTGGCCACACACAAAGCAAGTCCTCTCATCCTGATTAGGATTGTTGTTGTTCTTCTTCTGCTTCTTGAAGTTGGTGGTCTGCTGAGCTTTGTATTTCCCCTTGCTCTTGTTCTGGGCCTTGTGCACAACATTGGCGCTGGACTGCCCACCATCGCCCTTAGACGCGGCATCTTTTTCCCGAGCTTTCTCCTCAACATCAAGAGACGCAATCAACCCCTCAACGGAGTATTCCTGTCTCTTGTGTTTGAGTGCAGTACCGAAACTCCTCCAAGATGGAGGTAGTTTTGCAATAATGCACCCGGCCACAAATTTGTCGGGTAAGACACACTTAAGGAGTTCGAGTTCCTTAGCCATGGTTTGTATCTCATGAGCCTGTTCGACTACAGAACGGTTGTCAGCCATTTTGTAGTCATGAAACTGCTCCATGATATACAGATCATTGCTAGCATCAGTAGCACCGAATTTAGTATTCAGTGCATCCCACAACTCCTTAGCGTCGGTCATATGCATATACACCTCGACCAGACGATCGCCAAGAACGCTAAGAATGCATCCCACAAAGAGAGTAGTGGCTTCCTCGAATTGCTTCTGCTGTTCAGCAGTAAGAACTCCTTCAGGTTTGCCAGTACTCACCCAGAAGCATTTCATAGCTGTCAGCCACAGAGTGACCCTGATCTGCCATCTCTTAAAATGCACACCGGTGAATTTATCCGGCCTCAGTGCATCGGCAAAACCAGCCATAGTAAAATCACAGTGCCTATAATAAGGTTTTTGGATTGTTGAGATTATGGGCATATAATGATTTAATTTATTCCATAAATAAATCATGACATTACAGATGAAAACTAGCATGAACGCATCATTAGATCTACACATGTAAACTACGCAGAATAACATGAACAGATCAAATATGCGCAACATATTGAACACGTACCGAGGTGACGAAAAGACCGGCTGCTTGGTCGAAACTTTTCGCATGTGTCTACGAAGGCACGAAACACGCGAGCGAAGAGGAAGGCGAGCCGTCGCGAACGAACAGGGAGCAGTCGCGCGAAGCGCTTCCCAAAAACCTTATTGCCGCCTTCTCCCGGTGCAGGACGTCAAAGGCAGAGGTTCCGGAGACCTGCTCTCCCGATCGCTGGTGCACGCCGGCGAGCGGGATGGAGTAGTCTACGAGCGACGGCGCAGTACAGAGTAGGAGGCAAACCCTAGACGGCGGGTCGGTTTATATAGAGAAGGGTCGCTTGATCAGGGCGCCCGCACGATCTCTACTGCGCGTAACCGAACCGGATAAGTCGCGCGTAACTTATCCGGACTCCACGCCGTTTGCACGCACCGGATTTTTCGGAACGTTTCCAAAACAAAAACGAATCCGAATTTGCAACAAAACAAAACTGCAAAAGGAGGCTGCATCTGCGCAAGGGTGAGGAGCCAATTTTTCGGACCATTCGACGCGTACGTCGTGCACGCGCGCTGCCTGCCCTGCCAGGCGAGGCGAGGCTAGGCGAGCGCGCGCGTGTGTTTCCCCTCTTCTCTCCACCACACATGCTTCAAGCGACTAGGAGGGCATCATCCCTTTTAAGGAGGTCCCCCTCTCCTAGAATAAGCAAGGTGGTACTAAACTCCACATGCATGACATCCCATGAGGTGGGCTTTTGTGATTTTCCAAAGAATTAATCTTCGAGTGGGCTAAGGCCCATTCATTAATTCCAACACTCACACCTGTACAGCACACAGTAAGCTTTCACAAGAAAGCCTTTTTCCCCCTTTGTGTTAGATATAGTACAGCCATGGAAGGTGTTGGGTGCGGCTTTGCATGACAAGTGAACAGTTTTTCAAGGCCATCAATGGAAGTGAGGGTAATCACAGTTGAAGGCTCACAGTAATTTCGTAGCAACTTCACATGGCTTAGATGTTGTATTTCATCAATTTGATCTCAAGTATTTCATACAAAAGATAACAGTATCATGTAACAATCGTACCACATCCATGACGTGATTAGCTGGATACATCTTGATGTAGAGGTCGATTGATTTCCGTTAAAAAGAACATCTTTGCCATGATGCTTGTGTCATCTAGAGAAAGCTAAAGCTAAATTAAGAGAGGTAATCATGGCAGTGAACAGGTGCTACTACTCCGATCCCTTTGTTTCAAAATATAGCAATCTAGTATAAACATGACAGCCCTCGAAGGAATCCATCTGTCTGGAAACAACCTTACAGGTGAAAAACCATCAATTTTAAAGAACCTGTGCAACATGAAGGTAATAATAGACGTATCATGTCTGTCTGGATTCGTATCGTCTGCCATTAGCAACAACTTCTACGGAAGCCTCCCAGACTGGTTGGAACTTCTGACAAACTTGACCTAGATTTTCAAGATAATAATCTCACAAGACATTCAGTTCAGACTGGGTTCCTCCATTCAGACTGGCAATGGCTGACCTCCGATCATCCAGCCTAGGGACAAGAATCCCAACTTTGGCTTCGATCACAAGTTGGCATACAGATTCTTGCCATTTCAAATGAAAGTATTACTGATTCAGGCCAAGTTTAGTTCCAAAATTTTTCTTCAAACTTCCCAACTTTTCCATCACATCAAAACTTTCCTACACACACAAACTTCCAACTTTTCCGTCACATCGTTCCGATTTCAACCAAACTTCCAATTTTAGCGTGAACTAAACACACCCTCAGTCCCTGATTGTTTCTGGAGCTACTGTTTTGGATCTTTCAAACAATCAACTAACCGGCATGCTACCAGAAAGACTGGAACTTATGCACGCACACCCGATAGACCTTTGCAAAAACAGATTATCAGGCCCAGTACAAAACAATTCCATTTACGTTGACTCTTCCAGGAACTCTTTATCAGGGAAACTACCAACTTAACAGATTTTGCAACAGAGGTATTATATGTGCTTGCTCTTCAGAACAATTCTATGGAGTATCTAGCAGACTGGCACCATTCCAACATCAATATGTAAAATGCAACACATCCGAAACCGAAAGCTAGACTTATCAAACAACATGCTTACAGGAGAGGTTCCATCTGGCGGTCAGCAGGGAGATTTTGAACAACTTCAAATTGAGACAGGATTGTGGATTTTGGCCCAAAACAATACGCACCAAAGTTTTAGTACTTCCGCAACCCAGAACCTAACAACTAGTACTAAATTAGCATCCAGAGTTCACCGTTAATTTCTGAAGAATTTAGTATGTCAGTGCTACATCCATAGATTTGTGAACCCATCTATGTCGGATGACAAAAACACCATAAACGCACAGACCCATCAGCTCTCCACGGCGTAGAAGAAGGGATCGTCGAGAGACAGATCAATGGCGCTCTGGAAGCTCCAGCGATCTTGGACGAGGTTCTTGGGAAACATCAGCTCGATCTCCACCGCCTCGTCGTCCTTGGCGGCGAAGCACACTTTATCCTCGCAGAAGAAGGCCACGGTCTCGAGCACCTCCCCCTCCAAGATGAGGTACTTGAGGCACAACACCTCATAGCGCTCGGTGTGGAACCCTTGGATGCTGACTGTCTTGAGATGCGACTTGAGGCATTCGCAGGAACCCAGGGATTCCCAAACATCCGCGCAATTCGCGATTTCAGGTGATGCGCATGGAGGAATGGACTGCAATTTAGCAAAGCAACAATCAGAACTTTGCTTAGCTTATCAATCAGGAAAGCTATCATATCAACCAGAAGTAATGAACATTGCAAATCAACTACACGATGCAAATTAACAGAATAACATGGTACTACTATCTAATTATATTCTCGATCTAATCTAGAATTGGTATTTGACTAGTAGAAGAATGCAGTGGAAGTAAGCTTGCAGGTGCTAACCGCGTGTACTAAAACAACTACCTTGATGTGAAGAGTCTCGAGGTGAGGGAAGCATTTGAGCAGCGTCATCAGCAGCTTGATCTCCCGTTCGATCGCCAAACACACCTTGACAGCAAGTATCTTCAAGCTCGGGAGCTTGGCGCTAGACTTCACAAACATCCACATCCCAGGCTGCCATTTCATTCCCAATACAACAAATCAAACAACAGAGAGGAAATTGTTTGGTTGCAGAATCACGAACTGAATTGCAAAGTGCAGAGCACAACAGTTTGGAGTTATACCCTGATGGTGGTGCCGCCAATCTGGAGCTCGTGGAGCTGGAGGTCCAGGATGCCGAGCACCTCCAGCCTTGGCGCGCTTACGATCTTGATGGGCGTACGCTCGGCGACGGGGATGGCGTGGTGGAGGAGCAGCCGCTCCAGGCATGGCGCGCCGTCGACGACAATCTCGTCGAGGCTGGACATCCACTCCACCGCGGCCCGGAGGCTTGGGGACTTGATGCGGAGCCGCGACGGGCAGTTGTACGACATGGCGAGGGAGAGCACCTCCAGCTTACTGCAGAGCGAGAGCAGGGCGTCGAAGTCTCGGTCGGGGATGATGCAGTGGAAGAGGCCGAGCTCGCGGAGGTTTACTAAGGCGGCAGCGGCGACTTCGGGGAACATCCATGCGCCGAGGTACAGCCGCCGGAGGTAGGCGCAGCGGAAGATGTCGTCGGGGAGCGGCATGTTGAGCGGCCACGGGCGGTTGAAGAGGATGAGGTCCTCGACGTTTTTGTCGGCCAGGCTCGCCACGAGGCGCCGGAGCGCGTACTCGTGGTGGTAGAAGGCGACGTGGGTGATGCGCGCGGAGCGGACGGGGCCCGGGTGCGCGTCCACGCAGCGGGAGATGGCGCGGACGAGGGAGACCTCGTTGTCGGCGTCCCTGAGGTGCGCGTCGTCGACGAGGAGGGAGGTCTTCGTCCACACGCGGCGCCAGCGCGTGGACAGCGCCATGGTGCGCGCGGCTTCCTTGGTGGAGAGGCGGGAGATGATCTCCGAGAGGAGGTCGTCCGCGAGGCGGCTGATGTGGTCCTCCTCGCCATCCCCCGGCGGCGGCGACGGGAAGGAGCGGGCGTCTTCGGCGGCGGAGTAGTCGTCGGACGAGGTGAAGGAGAAGTGGTCGTCCTCGGAGTCGTCGGCGGAGGCGGCGTCGGGCGGCGCGGGGACGAAGGGCGCGGGGAGGAGGGAGATGAGGTAGGGGATGATGCAGTCGATGCGCTCCTGCGCCGGCGGGTCCTGCAAGGAGTTGAAGTAGTCCACCACTTCCCCGTAGGTCATGCCCCCTTCCTCGCCGGCGGCATCCATGGCGACGGCGGCGGCGGGCGGGAAGGCGAGGCGAGGCGAGTTTGGGAGAGGAGGAAACGGAAGCGAGGGTCTTTTTCTTTTCTTTTTTTTTTTTTTTTTGCGTTTTGAATTCCGCTGCTCTCACGAGTCACGACTCACGACGCCATAGCTGTACAGGTAACCCCAGCAGGTGACACGATCTGGTTTGCTAAGAGCAAGTATTATGATAGGCTATAAGCAGGCTAAATCCTACGCGGAGGAGAGAGAGAGGAAGAGAGAGAAAAAAGCGGGTATTTTACACACCGCCGGCTGCCATCGGTGTTTGCCTCTCTGTTCGTGGGCCAGGCTGCATCAAAACGCCAGCTTACCGCCCGCAGCCGGCGCAGCGGTGGGCGAAGAGCGACGCATGCAGCCGGCTGGCCGGCTGCGTTGTTAAACTTGCTCTAAGAGCAGGTACAATAGCATGCTATTAGCTAGTTATAAATATATTTTAATAAGATAAAAGATACTCCCTTTGTCCTAAAAAAAAGTCCAATTCTAGAGATGAATCTAGACACACCAGATTCATCTCTAGAATTGGATTTTTTTTTGGGACGGGGGGAGTAAGAGAGAAGAGCAGCAGGCTACATATCTGTAGCCAGCTGCAGCACGGGCTCCAAAACGCAGTGTGTGCATGATAGGTGGGACCATATATTAATAGTATAGTAAGAAACTATTGTATGAATTGGCTATTAGATTAGCTATATATGAATTGGAGCTAGTAGTAGACTATAGTATTGAACTTGCTCTAAGGAACATGGAAGGCCTTGTATAGGAAGGAAAAGTTTTAGGAGTACGAAGCTTGTCCTGCTCTCGGGGCTTTCACAGTGCAATACGTGGCATTCAACTTGAGGAGGCTAGGTCGGAGATTTTCCTCCATGTCGGAGTATTTCGGTGCTCCATGAAGAATGCGGAGATAAATGTTGCCACAGATACCTCGTTAGAAATTGCATTGGGCCCACACTTTTGTGTACTGCACGCGCCACAGGAGAGAGTGGATCGGAAGAGAGGCGGTGAGGAGGGGAACAGAAAGGGAGCGGCCAGATCTGACCGGAGGAGGCCGCATCAACCACTGCCGAGGAGCTCAACGCGGCGGCAACCCACCGCTCCGTGCCGCCATCGGGGAGCTCATCGACCCTCCCTCCAATTTGGGCCACCGAGCTCCATCTCCGGTGCTCCGAAGCTTGTCAGCGGCGTAGGCCCGAGCCCTCGCCAGGAAGTGCTCCATGTCCTCGCGTTCGAGCACATGTCACACGACTGCGGCGACCACGGTGTCCTTGCGAAGCTCACACTACGGGAGGTCGCCAACTCGGGAGCACCTTCAGCACCAGGGGAGTTGCCGCTGGACAGGTAGTCAATAAGGAGAGCGAGGGCCTCCTCGTTAGCCTCGCCATGCTGGAGTACATCCACATGTGCAAAGACGACATGACCCCTTGAGGACACAGCCGTTTCCGGCACCATTGTCGGTTGGGCACAGAGGCCGAGTTGGACAGCGTCCGACGGTATGCGCGCTGCATTGGGCTTCTCTTCTAGGTGGTGGACAACATGCTCAATATGATGAGCACGTTGGAGTAGCTCGGGAAGTGGAGGGTGCCCTATCGTTGGTGTCGCTACGGAAAGTGGAGGTCGCCCACATTGCTGACATACGCCCACGGCCTCTGGTGGTAGATCTGGAGCTGGATGGGTTCGTGATACACGCCATGGTGGAGGCCTTGGAGAGGATTAGGGAGAGAGCTGAAGAGAGGGGAGAGGGGAGAGAGAGAAGAGAGGATGAAAGACAATGCTAGTCACTGACATGTGGGTCCCACATAGGTCCCGCACCGACTCAGCTTTGCCATGTTACCTAAAAGCCGAACATAGTACTGCTTAGGACATCGGGTGATTCCTTTTGTAAATTGAGTGACCCGTTATATTTGGTATTTCAGTTTACGAATAAATTTCAGACTCGGCGACAAATTGAGGGACCTAAAGTGAACTTATTCCAGCCCAAAATGATTGTCGCGGGCCATCAAAATCTCATAATATGGCCCATATAGAACTCCTTGGTCCAACGGAATTCTCCACCGAGGCCTTGTTCCCCGCAGGCCTGGTTTACACAATTTCAGCGAAACATCCATAGAACGTGTAACATATGGTATCACGTGCCACAGGAAACATCATCCACGGTGTAGGGTGTATTTGGATTGTAGAGAACGTGTAGCATCAGCTGTAGGATGTATTTGGAGTTTCAACTAGTTCCAAGATTTTTCAGAAAATTGGACAGTTTCAAAAGAAGCGAAAGCGGAAAGGTGGTCGATCGGAAGCTGCCTCCCTGCTCCGGTTTTTATTCGCACAGCCAATCGATGCCCCCAGACCGGCACACGCGATTCGTCACACTGTCGCCGCAGGCCGCGGCAGGAGCGCAAGCTGGCACTGTGGCACAGGGGTATCACACGCTGGCGGTGCTGAGCTGAGGCGCGCCGCTGCGACGACGACGCGAGCACGGGAACGTGTCCGCACCGCACCACCGGGTTCACCGGCTCGTGGGCCGGCTGCGAACGAATCAGACAAAACCGCACTAGTCACTAGTAGCTCACCTCCAACATTTATTCCGCTCCCTCCCGTCCACCGCCGCTGCCGCTGCCCCACCGGAACATGCGCCGCAGAAAGCCAGAAACCCTGCTTAATTAATTCAGTAATCACCTCCGCCTAATCTAATCTCCTGGAATAATGGTTTCTACTCGCGCACAACTCCGCTTCTTTTATAATAGCCGTCCATACCCGCCCAGCCCACTTCACACCTCTTGCTGCTGCTGCTGCTGCTCATGGCGCCTCCTCCGTCTTTGCTCGCCACCGCGCTTCTCCTCCTGCTCCTCGCCATCGCCGGCGGGCCAAATGCCGCCGCCGTCGCCGAGGCCGTCAGGTACCAGACCCTCGTCGCCACCCCGCTCTCGCCGCACCCGTACACCGCCACCGCCGTGGAGGATGACGGTCTGTTCCAGGGGAGCCTCGCCGCGGACGAGGGCGGCGCCGCCGCGTCGACGGTGGGGCTACGCGTGGTCCACCGCGACGACTTCGCGGTGAACGCCACCGCGGCCGAGCTGCTCGCGCACCGGTTGCGGCGGGACAAGAGGAGGGCGTCGCGGATCTCCGCGGCCGCGGGGGGTGCTGCGGCGGCTAACGGGACGCGTGTCGGCGGCGGCGGCGGCGGGAGTGGGTTCGTGGCGCCGGTGGTGTCCGGGCTGGCGCAGGGGAGCGGGGAGTACTTCACCAAGATCGGGGTGGGGACGCCCGTGACGCCGGCGCTCATGGTGCTGGACACCGGCAGCGACGTCGTGTGGCTCCAGTGCGCGCCCTGCCGCCGGTGCTACGACCAGTCCGGCCAGATGTTCGACCCGCGCGCCTCGCACTCGTACGGCGCCGTCGACTGCGCCGCGCCGCTCTGCCGCAGGCTCGACTCCGGCGGCTGCGACCTGCGCCGCAAGGCCTGCCTCTACCAGGTCGCCTACGGCGACGGCTCCGTCACCGCCGGGGACTTCGCCACGGAGACCCTCACCTTCGCCAGCGGGGCCCGCGTGCCGCGCGTCGCCCTCGGCTGCGGCCACGACAACGAGGGTCTCTTCGTCGCGGCGGCGGGGCTCCTCGGGCTCGGCCGCGGCAGCCTCTCCTTCCCCTCCCAGATCTCCCGCCGCTTCGGGCGGAGCTTCTCGTACTGCCTCGTGGACCGCACCTCCTCGTCGGCCAGCGCCACCTCCCGGTCCTCCACCGTCACGTTCGGCTCCGGCGCCGTGGGGCCCTCGGCCGCCGCGTCCTTCACCCCGATGGTGAAGAACCCCAGGATGGAGACGTTCTACTACGTGCAGCTCATGGGCATCAGCGTCGGCGGCGCGCGCGTCCCGGGCGTGGCCGTGTCCGACCTCCGCCTGGACCCGTCCACAGGCCGCGGCGGCGTCATCGTGGACTCCGGCACGTCCGTCACCCGCCTGGCCCGGCCGGCGTACGCCGCCCTGCGCGACGCGTTCCGCGCGGCGGCCGCGGGCCTCCGCCTCTCCCCGGGCGGGTTCTCCCTGTTCGACACGTGCTACGACCTGAGCGGGCTCAAGGTGGTGAAGGTGCCCACCGTGTCGATGCACTTCGCCGGCGGCGCCGAGGCCGCGCTGCCGCCGGAGAACTACCTGATCCCGGTGGACTCGAGGGGCACCTTCTGCTTCGCGTTCGCCGGCACCGACGGCGGCGTCTCCATCATCGGGAACATCCAGCAGCAGGGCTTCCGCGTGGTGTTCGACGGCGACGGCCAGCGCCTCGGCTTCGTGCCCAAGGGATGCTAGCTAATTGCGCCTTAAGCCTGCTGCTTAATCTAATTAACGGGGGAGTGAGCCTTGTTTAGTCATAATTAAGTACTTAATTAAGGGTTTGGTTTGATTAAGGTGGCGAGTGAGTGAGGGAGGGAGAGAGCTTTGGATGCTGTAAAGCGCTGTGTGCTTTGAGGATAAGGCGGTTGAAGGCTGTAAAACAGTTAAAGTGATGGGTTATAAAAATCTCCTTGACCATGTCAGTATGATTCTATGACTGTCTCTGACTGGCTCGTTTGCTATAGTTGTATATATGTTGTCCCTTTTCTTTTCCTGGTCTTTTACGACAGTATAATTAACTTGGCCTTTTCTAAAGGACTTTTTTTCTTGCTATTTTACCTCTGTAAAACTTTGCTGATGGGCTTTACTAGTATGAAAGTTGTTATAAGTATAGTAATCTGCCGTTTAATTAAACTGCATTGGACATGCGAGGCTGTGACATTGGCATGCCACTTGACACAGCGCAACTGAGCGAACTGAACACACAGCCGTCACTTGGAAGTTTTCTAACGGTCCCAAGGAGTAAGAGCAGGGTAAATAGTACAGCCAACTACTAGCTCTAAAATATCTATAGCCAATCTAATAGCTTATTTTATACAATAGTTAACTATAAAATATACTACATTATTAATACCCGGTCCCACCACTTATACACACGTAACATTTTGGAGTCTGTGTTGTAGCCGGCTACAAATCTGTAGCCCGACTTTTTTTCTCTTATATTTTCTTGTCGATATATGGTTATAACCGGTGTACATGCTCTAAAGGTAAGTTTTCAAGTGGCGAGGGCCCACACGTGTGGGGTCTCACGCTCTCTCCCATCTCGTACCACGGACACGGAGACGAGAGAGAGAGAGTCAGAGAGACGTACGAAGGCTCGACACAAACTGTGAGAAACGTTGGGAGGGCTTGCTTTTTTTCCTTGCTCTCCGGGCTCCGTCCGTCCACCGCTTTGGCTGCCTCGGACACTGTGCCTTTTTTGCGGGCGTGTTTGTCGCTGTCCAAGGCCTCCTGCTACCTAACCCCATGCTACTTTATGGACTTGGAATAGTACGGGTAGGGATAGCTTGTGCTTGTGCACACAGCACGTCGTCCACAGACCAGTGTGGAAATTTCTCCACTGCAC